AGTGCATACCCCACTATCAATCCAGCGCATGGCGAGCGGACTATACGCTACTTTAAAAATACACACGAGACTGTTCATCAACGAGAACGATAACGTATCGCTGCTCAAAGTTCCGCAAAGGCTGCCACGGGACCATACCTTCACCACCGCTACCATGGCTACTCTACCGTGCGTTCTCACACGTACCGTAGCACCGTTATTACTCTTGTCGACGTCACGGACTCCATGAAGGCCTCGTTGACACGCTTTCCATCGAGTAATTCGACCTGCCGGCAAGGCAGATATGGGAAGCATTTCTAGGCGAGTGCTTCAGTAGACTAGACAAGACAACGTAGTACGCGGTCGTTCAAGCAACAAGTCATTTGCTGTGTTCAGTGAGCGCTCAATCAGTATGTCAACAGCGACGTGCATGGAGCTGTCAAAATACAGCCTCTTTCACTTGCGCTGAGTGAAGCCGTCCATTCATCATGCGACCTTCACGGTACCAATGCAAGCAAGCCAAGGTGCTTGTTATAATGGGCCCATCTATCACTACTGAACCGGTTACGCTTTAGTGAAACCTCATTGATGGCGCTTTCCGCTGGGTTCCTCGTGGCTACAAGCAATGTATCATCTTCATGATTTACGATCGTGCTTCAGGCATATTTGTTCCTGTGTACGGTGTGCTGAGGACTGTATGAACCGGGGATTCCTCTTGATACATGCTACATTTTGTGCTTCAAGCTACCGCCCAATAGATCCAACCGGATGAGATTATCTGTGATATTTTATAGTGTTTTAATGCGCGCTATGCGAACCTAGTTGGCTCGAACCCCATTCGACTAAATACGAAAGAGCAACTTCGGTGCGCTTTTAGCATTATCACAACATCGAACGAGTTTGAGCATCCTTTCTACGTCCACCTATTCCAGGCTCCAAGATTCATTAGCATTGCCCATGTAGAATAATCGCATGGAGCTCTCGACAAATGCTGCTTTTGGTAGTCGATAGTTTAAATATACATATTCTGTAATTTTTATACTTATGTTTATAATATCCTATTTTAAAGAAAATGGGCAATAGCCGGGTCAATCGACACTAAAAGACTGGAACGTGGACAAGGTCTGGAAAAAAATACCTGGAACGTGTTCTAGAAGTAGACGTGTCCCTGCTGGTCGGTCACGAACGAATGGCCTCGCGCTCAGCACTGACTGAGGTATAAAAACTCAAACAGAACCATAAAGATATGCGATACTTTTTTTCGGAGTTGGTTTCATCCATTTTCAATTGTGACTACTTTTGGATAAATTATCAGCTTTAAATAGTTATAATCAAAACCAAGCACCTATTTGTTGCGTGTTTGAATAGTATTTTCGATTTTCTCTTCTAAATGGCAAGTTCTAACGTCGACCAAGCTCTTCCCAACGCTTTCTTCGCGTTTTTCGAATGGTGCCAGGAGCAATGCTGGTGGGATCGCCTAGATGAGGCTGCCCGCTATCTGAGGAACTGGGTCCTCATTCGGCGAAACGACACCTCATGTACTGCTGACGCAATCAATCGGCCGCTTGACGTGGTACAGCAAGCCCGCATCACCGAGGCTCGTCTCATTGGGGCGCCCGCACAAAATGATGATACCTGCGAGCACGAGTGGGTGCTGCCTTTTGGTATGAACCGTCGAGGTCTTCCTACGTTCCAGATGCGCACCATTTTGGATGACGAGTGGGTCGATGGAAGAGTGGTTTTCTAACATAATGGGAGCCAACATGGGGGCCTACGACTAACCTGTCATCTAGTGAGATAAAGAAATATCGCCAGCGTAAAAGACGCAACGTAGCGCATGCTTACATCGGAACTGATGTTAAGGAAGAGTAAGCAGATAACAGAAAAAAAAATAGTTGCTTAAAGCTTATAGCATTTAAGAGAATGTCGAGTCCTAAATCTTGGGGATCTTGCCTGTTATGAGTGTTTTTCCATTGTCACAAAGCCATCCGCTAGATCAGTACAGGGACTAGCCCATCAACCCGCCCTACACAAGCGTTGCAGCGACAAATCCACACCTATACGTCGAGTCGTAGCCGCATGTAGTGTCTGCTGTGGCTGGTAGTGTCAGTAGAGTTGTAGCTACATGTGTCAACCGTGTCTGTGACCCGTTTGAGTTGTGTCAACGCGAGCACAGGCGATAGCTGATCTGTCCCTCCGATGATCGTGCCTTCTTCACGTCAAGTCGACACCATAGTTGGATGGATACAGTCACATTTCCAACTACCTTAGTGTCAACCTGACACCAGACTTATATCCATCATTAAACGCTTCCCCAATCCCTTAATAAAGTTGACAAAGGACATAGCATGTTGCTTTTGTCCGGAGAGACTTGCAATTTCAGTATCGTGTACTTAAGAGCCTCCGAAGGAGTATCTTCACTATTCAGGGCTGCAGTTTTTTTTCTGAAGTTGCACTGGTCTACGGTTACGCTGGGGTCGGTGCTCGGCGATCATAAGAACGAAATTGCAGCGCTCGTGCCAACGGCAGCGATGATGAACAGTACACACGCAGCTTTCGACAATCTCTACCGTTGAGATTGTAGATATTGCAATAAGTGATTGTCTTGCTATAAAATGTACAGTCAATAAGAAATCTTTATTATCATAGCTCTGGTTTTCGAGCATACTAAGTGGAATTTTGATGCTGGAACGGTCCACAAGTGGTGTCACTGACATATTATCAAGTGTTAAGTGGATGTACCGATCGCCATATTTAAGCTGCAACCTATTTAAAG